GGTTCTAGTTTATTCCCTGTGCCTAGATTCCCTGTAGAGTTCCATTAAAAGACATTTTCTTACTGGTAAAATGCCAGTCCACTTATAAAATTCGATTTCACAATGACTGCACCTGACATGAAGCCTTTTTGATGGGTTGCCTGTTGAAACTTTATACATCTGATGAGTCCTCGCTTTTCATTTTTCATTGACTACTGTACTTCACGTGCGTTTCACTTTAATTAGCTATGGGAACAAAGGGTGATGTCTAGGTTGCTTACCATTCTTATCAGTTCTCAGTGTCTGGATCCCTGCAATTTCTCTGGAGTACGTTTATAGTTGTCGTAACGTACTGGGAGCATTTTAAAAAATTTCTTGTCGGCATATTTTTACATTTGTCTGCAATTTTCAGGAAAAACGTGGGAAGATAAAATACGAGATGTTCGAAGCGCTTTGCAAAAAAATAATGCAAATATGATTGTGTTGGCAGCTTTAGATGATATCGCTTGGCTGTTTAACCTAAGAGGTTCGGACATATCTTTTTGCCCCGTATTTTTCGCTTACGCGATGGTATCTGATTCATTTATTTCGTAAGTACCTGTTTTAAATTAGATAAGGTTCTAAGATTTGTGATTGGCGATGCTTTCTGTGCTCTCGATAACTTGAAAATGTTGCTGGGATAACTGCTAAATTAATCCACCATCTACTGCCACAATTCATCATTTCTCTCTGCTTGCTGGGGCGGTAGCTTAAAGTGTTTTCAGTATTCATAGTTTTTTGGCAGCCAGAGAAGTTTCTACAAGCTGGATTTCAGTATGCCACAATGCGAGATGCTAATCGATTGGTGACTGATCATTGCTCCATCTTAGTTTTGGTTTGCCACTTGCTCATCTTTCATTAGCTTTACCAAAAGAATCCGTCTTGCGAATCTTTCCTCAGGCATTCCGATGACATGTTCAAAGCATCTGCGTTATGATCTTTCGATCTTAGACAGGAGTATTTCAAACCGTCATGTTCTCTGTTTCCTGTTCATCTTTGCATAATATACTATTGTTTTATCTCGCTCATCTAAATACAGAATTTTCACAAATCAAACACGTCAAATTTTGATTACATCATTTTTTTGCAGTGATGCGTAATTTTGAATGTTTATAAAGTTTAGTTTATTCGTTGACCGCGAGAAACTGACGACTTCCTGCAAAGAGCATTTGAATTCATCATTGGATTACTGCCGAGTGCAGATTTTTCCGTATGATGACGCGCTGAAGTGTTTGCGTTGCTATGTTTCGGATAATCCATCTTGGAAGGTATGGTTTTCCCCTGACACGAGTTACGCGTTCGTCAGTTCTGTCTCTGATGATCGGCGGCTGGAGAAGCAATCCCCCGTTGTGACCGCTAAGGCAGTCAAGAATTCTGTGGAACTGGCCGGCATGCGCAGAGCTCACGTAAGCAGGTTTCATTCATGTTGCTGAGACAAGTCACCATTGTCTTTAGACGCTGATTTCGACTGTTATTTGAGTGATTTGATTCCATACCAGCTATTGATTCAGCCTCAACCTCTTAGGTGAAAGATGCAGTTGCGCACTGTGAGTTTCTTTGCTGGCTCGAAAATGAAATCGTAACAAGCGATTCCTTGACGGAAGTGTCGGCTGCCAATAAATTCGAAAAACTTCGTCAGGAACAGCAAGACTATGTTAGCCTTAGTTTTGATACAATTTCCGCTACCGGCCCAAATGCTTCCGTTGTCCACTACCTTCCACAGAAATGTCCAGAAGTGCGCATCGACGGCGAAAATCTTTACCTGGTCGATTCTGGGGCGCAGTACAAGTAGACCTTCATTAAGTTTCAACTAGCATATTTTGGAATGGATGTTCTTTCAGGGACGGAACCACGGATGTTACTCGAACGATAATGTTTGATAAGGCGACTGACTTTCAGAAGCAGTGCTATACCAGAGTCCTTAAGGGCCACATTGCTTTAGCAACTCTTGTCTTTCCTGAGGATACGCCAGGTATGCAGTAGGCTTTACCATTCATTTCATCTTGACAGATGTCGGCGATAACGGTTCAGGTTTTCGTCTGGACGCTGTTGCTCGAATCGCTCTCTGGGAGGTCGGTCTTAATTACATGCATGGAACAGGACATGGAATTGGTCATTTCCTGTTCGTCCATGAAGGTAACGTACTTTAGTTGCTCTTCTATCGCTAATTCACATTATAGGACCTATCGGTTTCAACACTGCTGTTAGGGAAGGAATGAACACTGAAGGCTTAAAGGAAGGAGGTGTTATCACCATTGGTAATTGTTTTTTATCGATTACTGAGTAATAAAAATACATTTCCGTAATAGTTTGGCTTATATTTCACAATCATGCAATATATTAGTGTGTGCTCTATTATTGTAAATACGATTACTTGTTGAATTTTGTTCGTCCATGTGTAAAGGTTTTGTAAACATCCACATTCTGTGACTACTTCTTGAGTTTTAGTTGGTAATTATTTTTCATGCTGGATTTTTAACTTTTAGTTTCATTTGAGTTCTGATATTTTTTATTACGCGTCAGTTCTCTTCCGGCTGTTCGAGGCCACAAATTATTGACGATAATGATTCGTTTTCGAAGCTGTTCCGAATTAAAGCATGAGCCGTTTGTAGATGTCGCGTTTGGAGATAAAGGACTAAACCGCTGGATTCGATTCGTCCCCGATCATCCGCCGGTTCAGGTGATCCAACTGAAGTGATCTCCCACATTTTTCTGTACAGTTTAACTTCTTCCGTGTTATTTCCCTTATTTACTAGAATTACGGATCCGTTTACAGTTAATATTTGAATAAATGAAACATTTGCGTGGATAGCTTTGAATGTTCTTTTTATTGTAATTTTGGAGTGCAGTACAGTACGTTTTTATAGGCAGATTTGTTTTCAACATGGGCCTCTGTATTTAGTTAATATTCTTTTGATTTAGTCCTGTTTTGATCTGCTAACATTCATTTTGATTACGTAGTTGTAGCAGGAGAAAATTTCATGCTGCTAACCTTAAAAGCAGAAGCCTCATCAGCTTCATGTCATCCACAGCACTATTCATACAAAGTTATGTCTGTTTTTTTGTAGTGACGTTTGTTGATGGAATTTAATAACACAGTTCGATTTTCTGTAAATGATGTTTATAATAGAAAATCAGATTTACTGCATAGGTGAAAATGGTAACTGAGTATTTAAGATTGTGCCAAAATCACACAATAGGTGGTTGGATGGCGGTTAATCAGAAGTCAGGATTTCAGGCAAAATTTTGCCATGCCCTGCTAATTGTTGATGAAAGTTTTTCGCTTGACTTTCTAATAAATCTCTGCTTTAGAGCCAGGTTATTATCAAGACGAAGAGTTTGGCATTCGCATTGAAAATGCATATGAAATCATTCGTGTACAAACCGAAGTAAGAAAAAAGTTGTTATTTTCGTGATTTCTATTTTTACTCTGGCAGAACAATTATCGTGACATTGGCTGTTTGTCGTTCAAGCCATTGACTTTGGTTCCAATACAAACGAAATTGCTAGTGCCTGAGATGCTTACGACAAAAGAGGTATCTGACTGTGTTTGTTTTGTTTTGTTCCCATATGTGTACTGTTTTCGGTGGAATGGCTGAATCAATACCATGCACGTTGTATGGACGTCGTCGGCAAGGAGTTGGAAGATCACGGAAGAACTAACGTCCTTAATTGGCTTAGAGAACAGACAAAACCAATTGGGTGATCATTTTTGCCTGCCTACCTCAGTATGTCTCCATCTTCCTCCAACCGTGCTTTGTTTTGAATCTTCGAATTACTTGTTGATATGTGAATCTATTCTGTTATGAATCAAAATATTTATTTGGAAAGCTAAATCATATCTGAATTGGTTAAAGTGCACCAATGTAATTTGTAGGTTTCGATTTTGGTTATATATACAGGGTGGTGGTATTTGTATTTTATCGTATCTTGCGTTTGTTTAATCGTTCAGGAGATGGATTCTATTCTGTAAACCAATTTCACAGATGTTTGCTTATTGCATATGTTTTTGCGGTATATTTTCTTACATTATTTCTTGCTTTCACGCGATTCTCTATTATTAAAAGGCGACGTAACTTTGAGAAATAGTATTTTAGGTAATAGTCTTAATTTGGCACTACGAACTTCACTGATGATTATTTATTCAGACTGTATTAATACTACACTTATGAGCTTGTCTATGAGCAAATGTATGTGCCCATCATTTTATTACGTTTTTTATATTTCATTATCTGAATACCCTGACTAATACTATTGTAAGGAAAGTAAAATATGATACATTTCAACGTAATGTAACAACTCTGTCATAAGAATAGTATTTGATATTGAAGTTTTTACTAGAAACTTGAACTGTAAAGTCGATTGAGGCGATAAAATTTTGCCCCAGAAAAAGCATCGTCTGCACTTAGATGTCAAACTTTTGTTTTCACAAGCATTTCGTTCGTTGCTTTTGATTTTTGCATGGCATTGTACCTATTAATCAAGTTGACATTTAATCAGGGCATATCAAGCTGCTAAGGCGTTTCGGTACAACGGTAACACTGAATTTTATGAGATCTAAAAATCAATAGGCTAAGGTGAAACTGGGTAAGCCCAATAGAAATTAGCTGACGTATTTCACAACTTTCCTATATCTGTTTTCCTTCCCATATAGCAAACAATATTGAAACAGACTTATCAATGGCAGATGGCAATTTTTTGACAAGTTAACACGCGTTATTCTTGCTCATGGTGAGAAATTTGTTCAAGGTACAGTGTATGTTTTCAAGATTGCTAAATGTCGTCAAGCATTGCTAATCATGAAATAAAGATTATATCAGTGATAAAAGTTGCATATCTTTTAACTACGACGATATTGCTACCAATATAGCCAAGTAAACGATACCAGCATAAAAGTTTTAAAGTGATTTTGAGCGCATATTTCAAGTCTGTTGGCTGCATTTGGCAATCATTGTTGATGGTGCAAAACATGCAGATGAAAATATTTTCTCTATTAGACCGGCAGAACTACTTGCTTTAGATTTGTCATGCTGATAAACAGAGTATAAATCTGACTCCATTTCAGCAATGGATGTCTTGTTAAAAAGCTATGCAAATTGTCGAAAGCTTTGAGATGTCTATAACTGAATGTCTAAACAGACTTCTTAAATACATGTGCAATCGAGATCAGCGTTAAAGAATATTATCGAAGATGCACGACGATTGAGAAAATCGATTCCGTCTAATATTACCCTTGCATTCCCATGGATGAGTTGATTTCGCTAAAATGAGTGTAAAATTTAATAGCTAATGTGTAGTGGCGTATGCTTTATGTATATAAGTTAAATTGACGTTATCGATGGCGATAGTTGAATGACTGTTGGACGAAAGACGCGTATGGCATCAGCTGAAGTA